TTCAAACGTTTCTTTATTTTCCTTACTGGTAAATTCGTTACTGGGAATTCCTTACTGGTAATTTCCTTACTGATAAATTTGTTTTATTTTCCTTACTGGTACTTTCCTTACTGGGAGGGAATGTACGTTTCTGGTATATACGTGATAATATTATATACATTGTATCAGGCACACACACACACTCACACACACGCACACACGCGCACGTACGCACACACACACACACACACACACACACACACACACACACACACACATACATGACAGATGTGTTGTGTGTGAGCATGCAAACATCATGATCAGTGCGTGTGTGCCTGCATGCGTGCGTGTGTGTGTGTGCGCGTGCGTGTGTGTATGTACATGAGTGCCTGCATGCACACACGTGATGAATGGAATGCTGCATAGAAAGGTGAAAAACGGGATATATTGAATGCGTTTGATGATATTGATAATATTGATTGCATCTCATTATTTGATGATATTGATGTTGATATTGATTGATGATTGAATGATGATGTTGATTGATGATATTGATTGATTGATTGATATTGATGATGTTGATTGATTATATTGATTGATTGATTGATATTGATGATATTGATTGATGATATTGAATGCGTTACCTCATGAGAAGAGCTTCATTCAGGAATTCGGCTTTCTCTTGTTCTGAGGATCCTTTCCGTAAAGTCTGAAATTTAAAATTTATTCAACGGGATACTGTGTCGCCAGTCTGTACATTAATTCTGGTTAGGAGAATGAGGTGTTTCGTTGAAAAAAAAAAACAAGCTAAACGAATGTTACTTAAACTGTTGAACATAAAACATGACAGAAAACATGTGTAAGAAAAATCACAGACTTTAAAAAAACTCACGAGTCTGTGAGTAAAACATCAAAAGCATGTAAAAATAATCGCGCGGCAAAAATTTCTGGTGCACATTATCCGCATGGGTAGAAATGAAAACATCAGAACATCCCAAGTTAGACAAAATTACAAAAAACCCCCAGCTTACTCCGATGTCAATATTCATCAATGTGAACAAGCGAACGTCTGCCATTAACAGCAACCATCAGCGACAAAAACAAGCGAACACATCACAATCGGCGTCCGTCGACGAAAAAGAAGAAAACGTCTCACAATCGGCGTCCGTCGACGAAAAACAAGCGAACG